CTCCGGAATCTTATTCAATCTCATTCACAGAGATCACCACAAACCTCTCAATTCTACTTCAGTTCTTTTAATCTCCACAAGAATTTCCGAAGAACTCCAAACAATTAGGTGAGAACAATCGAACAAGCTCAAACTGAAAACCCAAAACAAAAAGACTCAATCCCATCGGAAATTTCCTAAGAAATTTTAAATTGAATTATTCGAATTGTGAGAGTCCTCTGTTTTAAATAGAGGCTCTTCGATAATTACTTCCCTAATTACAATGCTAACATGCCATAAATATATTGTGTGTGTGTGTGTGTGTGTGTATTTGGAATTCCCTTTATACTTATTAAACACTAAACTTGGTCTGCGAAAAGTGTTATCGTGACCAAAACGATGACGCTTATACATGTGATGTGCGCCTTGCTGTTGTGGCAGGCTATGGTGAAACTTGTCATCCAAAGGTACACTAGAGAAGCTGGTGTCCGTAATCTGGAGAGAAACTTGGCTGCCATAGCTCGTGCAGCAGCTGTTAGAGTTGCAGAACAAGAACATGCCGTGCCACTTAGCAAAGATGTGCAGCAAATTGCCTCACCTTTGTTGGAGAGCAGACTTGCTGATGGAGCTGATGTTGAAATGGAAATCATGCCCATGGGTGTTAACAATCATGATATCTCACAGGCATTAAGGATCACGTCACCTTTGGTTGTGGATGAAACCATGTTGGAGAAAGTACTGGGGGTAAGTAGTATTTCCTTTTGAAGTTATGAATCTACAAATAAAATTGAGAAACCTGGATTATTTTGGCTAAAGCTGCCTGGACATATAGGGACAACAAAAATATCGTTAATGCCTCATAGTTCTTTTCATATCTTGAGTTCATTTCGCATATGATTTATGTTCTGTATGATGGAACTGCAGCCCCCAAGATATGATGACAGGGAGACTGCAGATCGTGTTGCAACTCCTGGTATATCTGTTGGACTCGTATGGACAGCCTTTGGTGGAGAGGTTCAATTCGTTGAAGCTACTGCAATGGTGGGAAAAGGTGATCTACATCTCACTGGCCAACTTGGGGATGTTATTAAAGAATCGGCCCAGATTGCAATGACATGGGTAAGCCTTTCCTTCTTTCATACATTTGTTGGGAGACGGAATAATCCCATCCTTGTCGTGAGCATTAGTTTTAATGAAAATGGGGTCATGATCCTTGTGCGTATGCTCTGAAGCAAGATAAAAAAATAAAAATATATTTAAGAAGCAAATCGGCAATAGCACGACTCTAGTACTTCTCTTGGTGCTAGTCAAGTGTTTTTAACAGTTGGAGAAGTGAAGTATGTCTCGTGAGCTTAGTGGACATGTGCCTCATTAAATGGCTACTATAGTATGGAATAATAATTATAAGTCAAGAGCGTGGCTTGCTACTGTAGTTATAAAAACCTGGTCATGTTTTTGCTATTTCTCTTAGCCCCAAAAGAAGTATATAAAATTTTCCTAGGGAAACGGCACTAAACTTTGAGACTTTGTATGGAGTTCTTTAAGTGTTTTGAACGTTTGAGGGTTTAATATCAATGTCGCAGAGATTGTGGCAGCCTAAATGCCCTTTTAAAAGTTGGGGCTTATGGCTCAAAAATTTTAAGAAATGTGGTTGTGAATTTAGCTATTAGAAGAACTGGCACTTATCACCTAGCATTGAATATGTTTTATGTTTCTCAAAAAGGGGTCCAGACATCAATTCACTAGACACTTTGAACTGCACGTTTTGTTATATGGACTATTTTCAACAGTGTTATTTAATTTCATTTTAATAGACTCAGCATAATACTTTAATTCCCACTTTTTAGTTATGCAATTAAATTTTGTTTATATGACTTAAATCCCTATAGGTACATAAATTCATTTCATGTAAGAGACGCTACTAGAGAGTTTTAAAAACTTTGAATTTGTTGGAGTCACAAAGACACAAACATTGCAAGTGGCAGTTGAACTTTTCTTTTATTGGAAACTTTTTAATCAAAAAGTAAACTAATATAGCATATTTTTCTAAAATTGAGAGTTTGACTTTCTATTGTAGCAAATGTAGCAATAACTACAGGGCATGGGAGTATATAATATTGCAGTGCAGATAACTTTTTAGATATCCGCAAAGCAATGTAAGAAAGGAATTGAGAGTCTCTCTATGTGCTTCTTCCCATCTTTGTAAGCCATTAACATTCGTTTATGAGAGAGATAGGATGGAATTCTATTATGTTGAAAAAATGCAAATACATGAGGAGTGTTGTATGAACTGGTCTAATCTCTCTTGAGATATTCAATTTGTTCCAAATTGACTTGTTTGAAAGCTTTTAAGTTTCGAAATAGGGCATTTACTATAAAGATTTCATGCATCCACCACTTCTCAATCTTCATCGTGGTTGGATCAAAGAGAAACAGAAAGATGAAGGTGTGGGCTATATATTGGTGTTGGCTGGTCAAGATGGCGTTTACAGCATCAAGGAAGAATATCAGCAAGTTTGGCTGTTATAATCGGGAATAATAAATATGAAATTGGTATGATGGCAGTTTTAACGTATGTAGAAGAGTTTTAAAAAGAGAGTGCACATATTGCTATCAATGGCATACAAAAGCAGATATGAACCCGAACATCCGCAAATTCCTTTTTGTACTATCACATTTTTATTTTTTTAATCTTTGTATAAGTTCTTCATTATCTCCATAAAAAGTTTCCAAGTTCATTAAACATACAATTCTTCCATTTCCCTTCATTTGATAAATGCTAGTGCTTCAAAGTTCTGTATACTATGCAATTGATGCATTATACACGTCTTGCACATTTCTGTCTGGTCCAGAAAGCAAGATGGTTTTGTGAAGTAAATGTTTTGTTTTTGTTTTCATAAACTTCATTGTTCTTTCTTCCTCTACAGGTGAGAGCGAGAGCAACAGAACTTAAGTTGGCTACTGCTGAGGAGACTAATCTCCTTGAAGGCCGGGATATTCACATACATTTTCCTGCTGGGGCTGTACCTAAGGATGGACCATCAGCTGGCGTGACTCTTGTAACCGCTCTGGTTTCACTGTTCAGTCAGAGGAAAGTACGAGTAGATACGGCAATGACAGGGGAGATGACACTGAGAGGTTTAGTTTTACCTGTTGGCGGTATTAAGGATAAGGTATGCTTTCAACTTATTTTTATGGGGTTTATTTTGCTACATTGACCTCAGTACTTGAGCAATGACATCAGTATTAAATTAGTATTTTGGTATGGTTTCATCAATCTGAATCAATTCACTCTTCAACTCTAGACCAAAAAAGAATTTCTTGGTGGGGAAACTCAGCTTAGCATCTGTTACATGACATGTTGGCTGCCACCTTGTCAAAAAGATTAAGCAACCTAAAATAAGTGCAGAAGAAATTAGCTCACTTGTCCTAGAACATTTTGAATACTGAGTAGTGAAATAAAGCCCGAGTTTGGTGGCCAATTTTTTTTTTTTTTGTTTTTGAAAAACATTGTTTTGAATGGTGAATTTTTGGAGAATATATGGTTAAAAAGTAAGAAAAAATTTTGGGTTTACGTGTAGAATATTTATTGTGTGAATGTGTAGTTGAAAATGAGCACGCAGAAAAAAGAGTTTTGAAAGAATGAGAGACAAACAGGGGCAAAGTAATCTGATCAAGAACTATAGCATGAACATTATGTTATGTTACATTATCCTTGTATAGTAACTCCTTTTTCTCTCTCCATTCTTTCTAATATCAAATCCTCCTATCCTTAGTAAAATTAGAGGCTTTATATATTCTTTGATGTGCTAAAGAAATTTTTTGATGTAAGATTCACAGACTTCGATGCAGGTACAGTTTCAATCACTTCCTTTTGAATCAGATATATTTTGAATGTAGATGTTGGTATATACCCTTGAGCATGGCTTACTAGTACTATTATATGCTTTTGAAAAAGAATAGTAGAGTTGTAATGGTTGGACTCCAGGATTTTATTTTTCATATTTGAAATGCCAATATGCAGAACAATGCAGCGTCAATATGCTTCATCCAATCCTTTTTGTTTCCGCGTCATGGCAATATATTGACTTTGAGCTCACTGGGATGATGTAAATATCTTTCTGTTTTTTGGATGCCATGTATAGGATACTTTTTGAAGAGAGTGATATTGATTATAACATTGTGTGTATTTGATATGAACGACTTAGTGAAGGATAAGTTACTTTGTTGTGCGTGCACAGTTGTTTTACACATTTCGATTTGGATAACAGCAGTCCTTGCAACAAATATGCCCTGGTGTTAGTCTTGATATTTGACAGCATACTATACAGGTTTTAGCAGCCCATCGGTATGGTATCAAGAGAGTTATTCTTCCAGAGAGAAACTTGAAGGACTTGGTGGAGGTACCATCAGCCGTGCTCTCCAGCCTGGAGGTAATATGTTTACACGAGATGTGTTGGTCGTTTACACTGTAGTGATTGGTTCATTTTCTAATTCAATCTTGTTGAAATAGATATTACTTGCAAAACGAATGGAGGACGTGCTGGAACAGGCCTTTGAAGGTGGTTGCCCATGGAGACAGCATTCTAAATTATGACAAACCTTCCAATCTAACAAGCATCTTGTGATTAACTACTCCCATTGTCGCCCAGAAGACAGAATGACGACTTCTTTTGGCAAAGATCAAGTATGCAGGTGGCTCTTTAGAGGCCTTTTAACACTATTTAAGTTCGCAATATTTCAAATGTATATTGTAACATTACCTGTGTATTATTTGCAGGAACAATTACAGCTTCTTTTTCCTTTATACGAAACCCTGTCCCCGTTGTATTATTCTTCTCTTTCAGCAAGCTGTATTTATTGCAGCAATACTTACAGCATTCTTTTTCCTTTTATTATAAACCCTGCCCCTGTTGAAATTTTAAGTGGAAAATTCTCTATATTTCCTGGTTATAATTAGATAATCTGATGTGAGCTGTTCTTGGAACTCGATTGGTGTGGTACTAAGTAGTATTATTCTTATTTTTATGGTCAAATGTATTATGATTCTTGGTGTAGATGTGCAGACTAACTAACGGAAGAAGAAAGAGGAAAACAGCTGCAAACAATGACGGTTTACATTGCAATTTTGACTTCTCTTACAAGTCGAAAATTTTACCATGAATAGTTGCAATCAGCNCTGCAAACAATGACGGTTTACATTGGAATTTTGACTTCTCTTACAAGTTGAAAATTTTACCATGAATAGTTGCAATCAGCTTGACCAAAGCCAATGATAGGCCCAATACATCCAAGAGGATATATGCAAAAATAACCCAAATGAAAATCCATATTTCCAAAATAACCTTTGACTTTTTCAAAAAATTGAAACTACCTAAAATATCCCTAAATATAATATCTATTAAATTATGAAAAAAGTACAATCAAGTCTTAAGGAATTAGATTGCCATAAAATGAACTAAAAGAAACCAAGATCTAAAAGAGGACAATATAAGATTAAGAAACTTGATAAAGATAAAAAAANCTGCAAACAATGACGGTTTACATTGAAATTTTGACTTCTCTTACAAGTTGAAAATTTTACCATGAATAGTTGCAATCAGCTTGACCAAAGCCAATGATAGGCCCAATACATCCAACTACCACCAATTTGAAATTGTTTAGACTCGGAAATTGATTTTGAAACTCTAAAGGTAAGTTTGGCGAACAAAATTGAGCACGTTTGGTTCAGATACAAAAATTGATTAAAATTTAAATTGAAGTTAACAATTAATTTCAATCACATATTTCATGGAATTCACAACTTCTTAATTATGCATTTCATCATTTTTTATTAAAATATACTAGAAATTTGATTTTTATCTAAATCAAATAGAGGATGAATAACACAACATTAAAGAAAATGTGAGTATAATGACTATAATAGTATTAACTCCTATTTGGATGAATAAAAATAAGAGGTTTTTTAGTAGATTTTAATAATTGTTGATAAAATGTCCGGTTAAAAATTGATAAAAGTTGAACCTATAAAATGTCAGGTTGATGGGAATAAACATGGACTTAGTCATCTTGATGGGAAGAAAGTTTGGTTCCATAGATTTATAATATTTTTCTACTTCAACTAGGATTATTTTAAACCTTATATAAAGAGGGTTTCTATAATTTAATTCTTATAACTTTGATAATAAAACAGAGGGAAAATTGCAGCAGCTGTCTCTAACCTTTCACTTTTTTTTTAGATTTTACTTCAACCTTCATTTTGACCCCAATAGTAAAATTTTACCAAATATAATAAGGGCAAAATTGTAACTTTGCAAAAAATATAATTAATTATAATAAGGAAGGGTAGTTAAATAAAAACAAAAAATCAAACCCAAGGTTATCTTCTTTGCCCCACCCCCTAAAAGTACTTTGTTCGTCGTCCTCTCCGTTAAATTCTGCGAAAGAAAACCACAAACACTTGCCTCCAATTCTTCAAATGCTCAGTTTTATTTGAATGTGGAAGTCAGGGTAAGATATGGGGTTCATGTTCCGGTTCGATATGGAACCCGAATACATTCCGCAACTACATATTTTCTTAAATGATTTGATTATATGTTGTCAATCCAATTAACCGATCCAAAAATTGATTTTGTTTTTACTGAAATTTAACTGGAAATGGGTCTAATTAGCGTTAGAATGAAATGAATCTATGATACTTTACCTTCTCGATTGAAAACTGAAAGCTGAAAAAAGTAGTTTCTTGTGTGGTGGGATTGACAATGATGGTGTCGATGGTTTGTGATGGGATTGGCAGTGGTGGTGCTGGCGGTATGTGTTTGAGGCGATGATGTTGGGTAGTGTCTGTGTTGGGATCGTGGTGTCGGCTATGACGATTTTCAGAGATGGGGTAGGTTTGTGGAGGAGATAACAATAGCCCTTTCTATATTAAAATTGCAAAATTACAATTTTGCTCTTATTACATTTGGTAAAATTTACTATGTAAACTAACGGTCAAATTGGTGATTTGGATCTCATGTGCATATTTTTGAAAGGTTTGAAACTGTGAATGGCACAAAGTGAAAGTTAGGGTAAAATATAGAAAAAGTGAAAGAATAGGGATCGTTGCTACAATTTTTTCTAAAACAAATTTATTCTCTTTTAAATTCTCTTCCATTTGTTTAATTTTTGGATTAAACTATACGTACCCCACAGCCGAACCTCCAATAGGGCGCCACCACTTGACGATGTAGTAAACCATGTAGTACATGTAGCATAGTCCTTAATTTTCTCCCCTTTCTATTCCCTCCTTTCTTCTTCATCCTTTTTACCCCCTTCATTTCTCTTATTCTCTCTCCTTTACCTCCTCTCTCTCTTATAATTGTTTGATTATATGCCAATTTGATATCAGAGCTCAAATAGTTTCTATTGACCAATAAACTTCATAAAATTCGATCCCCTAAACCAACTGTTTCCACCTCTCCAACCACCAACAAACCCTCTCTTCAAAACCATAAACAAACCTATTAATCCCAAATACACGATACATCTTCACCATTAAACCACTCTGAAATAAAGGCAGCAGTTCAAAGGTGAAATTCAATGGCATCTGTACTTCATAGTTTATTATTAGGCAAAAAAAAAAAAGTCGCGAATGCCGAAATTATTCACCACGAGCAGCCGTCGCCACCCTCATTTTCGATCGACTCTCCCAACACCCCCACACCAGGAAACTGCTAAGAGATTTCACCCGCCAAATTTTGACATTCATTATGTCATCTTAATTCACCTGGTTCCATCTCCAGTAATTCAGGAATTGAGATTGTTTTGCCTTGTTCACGTCAGTAAACTTCTCTAGGTTGCCAAGGGACTTTGATGAATTGGATCTGGACTATTATGTGCACCACTTGCAGCTCGTTTAAATCTCGTGATGTATACCTATTTTTCATTTTGAAAACTCTACTTTCTATTTATGAGTTTGTGTCCAGTGTAATTCATATTTTACACAAACACAGAAAAAAAAGGAATAATAATATAATAACAGCAACAACAACTAAATATAAAGTAAACAAAAAAAAAAAAAAAATTGTCATACACAACCATGTCCTCCTCATATACCAACTATTATAGCTACACCACTATCCTCGATAGTTATCGTGATAGTGGACATTCCACTCTCCCTTATCCCTACAATTAACCTTTGTCTACAGACTTTGTCGCCGACATCCATTCTCTTTCTAGTCACGTCGCATTCTAACTATGGGACTTTAAATTTATCACTGGATCCGACTCATTTCTTAATACTCGATATTCTAGAAAAAATTTTGACTTCAACAATTTGAGTAACTCTCGTCATCCTTATTATATGTTACTATCGTATCTATTAGATGTTATTGGAAATCATTTTTACATGACATTGATCTTCTAGATCAACGTCCCATCACTTTGCAGGAAGAGATTAAACGAGTATGAAATAATAAATACGTCACATGTACTATCGAACTCAATTACTTTATCAATTCTTTTTGCACTATAGACATGGACATCCACTATTTGGAAATATTTAGACCACTTCGAAGAGCTTTACACAATTGTGATATTTGTGGAGATCTCCACATTATAACGTCTAGTTTTTAAATCGGTTGAATCTTGAAATTTTGTCGATGGCATTCTTGCAATCCAATCATTAGATGACACTTACTGGCAGGTCAATCTTTGGCACATATTCTTCTATCTTCGTCGAGCATATCAGACATTAAGTCTACCGCCCTGGTTTTGACGGTCACTTATGTTACTCTTCAGAACAATAATGGCGTTTATAATGTTGAGTCAATTGAGAATTTTGCTAGTGAGGATGAAGAATTAACTATGGTGTTGCCCCTAAACCAAACAGTCCACTTATCCTTGATTTCACGCCGGAGTTGTTTTGCCTAATTTCTTGTGGGACTTTGACTCTAGCTTTGATATGGTTTTACCTCCATTATTTGATATTCTCCAAGTTGTCACATTATTTTTTGAGATCGTTGTTCGTTCATAAATTTTTCCTATCAACATTCAATTGTTGCTTACTAATTACCATCATATTGCTTTAACTCCGTGATGCGTTGATTTTCATGCTGAGTTTAATGAAAAAATTGTTTACAATCATGGAACTCATAAGTAATTTGACGCGGAATTTAGGCATGAATACTTTCATAATGATTTTTATACCAAGTTACCTTTGGCACAATTTTTGGCACATGTAAACAAAAATTGGATCCCACACTTAAATGTAATCTATTTGAGTGGACACTAATCTATGAATGAATGTTTTGTTTTCAATATGACAATATTGTTTTTTTTATCGGGGCACATTCGAGCCCCGTTGTTACAATAATTTGTTTCTATAGGTCAATCTATTATCCAAGTGCATTGTGTTATTCGTGTGGATTATGCAGTAATCTAGTATTAATCACTGTCTTAATAAATACGGTTTCGACTCTTAGTCCCTATTTGATCCCCATTCTCAGGGTAAAATATATTATGAAATAGTGAATTTTTGGAAAATGTGTGGTTAAAAAGTAAGGAAAAATTCTTGAAATACGTGTATAATTATTTTATAGAAAAATGTATAGTTGAAAATAAATTTTCAAAAAAATACATTCTTGGAAAAATGGAGCTCAAACGGTGGGTCAGTCCTTTTCCTTGTATTAGCCTCCAATTCCACCATTTTTAATTCAAATAAGTTGAAGACCGTAAATAAATAAAATATAAAAGTTGGTTGGACAATGCTAGGCAAATAACTTTCCAACAATTGACTTTCTTTTTCTCTATTAATATAATAAATAAATATTCTTTTTCCGTAAGTGTTTAGTTGGACGAGTTAATTTGCGTAATAACAACTAATAAGACATAAATGAGAGGAGACAGACATACTATCTAT